GTAACCAGTCATTCAGGCCTATGCATGTAGCACCAGTCATTCTTCCGTCTGTCAGACTTCGATTCCAACAGGCCTACTAAAATAATCAAAGTGTAAAAATACGCATTTCAATTTCTGTACCCAGCTACTACCCTTTTACTAGAGTGACGTTTATCAACAAGAAATCTCATCTATTCCTTGTATTCTAAGCTCTAAACTGGACAGGGAAACGCAGTGATTGTCATCTTCACATGTCCACCAATATAAATCGCCTATGTGAACCTAGAAAATGCTCGGTACACAAAGGCAACAAGCCCAGCTGAAGGCCTGAGGAAAAGTATCAGGTTTCTATTTTAAGACGGGTCTTCTACAACATCAAATCTCCGCGGCACAATCAATATTTATGGGTTCATTACCATCATCTACCGATATGGCCCGAGACGAGAGAAGCGAACTATTACTCATATTAGACAAGTACTCCACAAAGTACTAGAGAAAATGGTCATCACCTTATCACGGAGTGCTGGCTTCACGCTTTCCGTCAAGAACTAAGCTAAAGCATCTTGAATTAATTTATCAGATCCCAGATCCTTTCAGAGTGTATCGAAAAGACGACGCGCCATGTGATACGTTATAGGTAAGTGTTTATTGTTCGGTACCACAGCATTATTAGAAAAGATAGTAGTCAGTCGACGCTTCGGTTACCGTGGGTGACCTTTCTCAAGACCAGTTTGCAATCGAGAAAGGTTACCCGCGGTAACCGAAATGTCGACTGGCCAACATCTATCCAACAATGCTGTGTTACTGAACAATAAACATTTACTTGTTAAACATCTGGGTTGGCGGAACAGACACTCAATACATTACGACGTGTTCTGGCCTCACTTTGGTAAATGTACCATTTGCCGTGTACAACCATGTGGTGACACACACGTACACAGTTGACGTTTGGGGAGTTTCGTCCAATCAGACTGCATCACGTGTTGCACGACCTTGCGCAGCTTGATCCTGTTGTACAATGTTTTACGCTTCCGATTTCGTAAATCACTGAATTACGCACCTGCACACGTGTTTGCTCTTCACTTGCGTGCTTGTACTGGCGTTTACAGTACGTTGCTACAGAATACACGTTCACCCGTACAAGTGCGCCTTCATTCTATTAACCGAATTTGGAACACAAAACTATTGACAAATTTTATCGTGGTCCTGTGATAGACCCCAAAAACTCTTCTGCAACAAAGGATAGTATACCGATGAGTCCCTGACTGTGTTGTGTATCTCTTTAATAGTGAATACGTGTTTGGTAGTGAGATGGTTGAATTTCATCGCATAATTCTTTTCTTTTCGTTTGTTCGTGGAGAGGAATGAAATTCGAAAGTGTACCGAATGCACCATAAAAGAATACGATATCGATCACAACTAATTCGTTGATGCATGATAAGATTAAGTCGCTTTTAGAGCGCCCGTTGTTTCATTAGATGGCGAGTTTCATTTTCAACACTAACGTGAAACTATCTTTTATTCGTGATCTGCAATGAATTGTGGATTTTGCTCACAGATTGGTCTTGCAGTTGGAGATATTGGTCAGATTCAACGATCTGCTACACTTCAAGTGATCGCACAACAAGTCTACTGGTTGGATCAAGTGGAATCAAGGTTGTCGAAGTGGCTGCATAAGAAAGCACAAGTGAAACACTGGGTTATTCGACCACCTCTCACATTTAACAGACGAGTAAGTGAAACCATGGAAATAAATCTCCCTGAACCAATTTATTTCGGTCAGGAACAACAATTGGTAGTCGAAACCGGTTGTTGGAGTCTCAGTCAGATTATTGATTATGGGATGTTCGTTTTTGATATTCTGTTACCATTCTTATTCATATTAGCTGATTGCAAACCTTCAAAATCTTGAAAATAGATTTGTGTCTTCGTAATTTCGGTTGGATACATTGTAGTCGAAAAAATACTATATTCCGATTTGTTTGTTTGTTCACAGAATGGTTTGAAGTAAATATGAGACCTAATCAATAATTTGCAAGTTTGAAATGGACGTGTTTAGGAATTGGTGTTTTCGGGATGAAGTTCTATCAGCAAATACATTACATGAGTGCTGAAGTCCCTTGCGTCACTTCACTCCAAAGAATGTTTGATGGATGCAACGGACTGCTTTTCTTTTCATCTATCGTTTTACAGAAACCTCACACAGTGGAATTGAAATTTGCGCTTACCAAGCTAAACAAGGAGTGAGTGAAAACATGTATTCGGTCGAATTCGCTTGTAAACTCGGTTTTTAACAAAGCATTCGAAGCGAATTATGACCACCGGAAGCCCACCATCAGTGGCCGATTCAGCATTACCGTACACTAATGGAAGAACACTACCCCTCCCCACTCCATCTCACCTATTGTGACAATGTCCCTACACCAACCAGCCACCAGTTAATCAAGTGCGCTGTTGTCCCCATAAGATGTATGAGCACAATATTGGGGATCAGTGAGACAAAATTTTGCCCTCTATTTATGCCGTTCTAATATGACTATGGAACTATTCAAAATATATATAGCATGCGGTACGCAATATTGCACATTTTGTGCACTCAGAGTGGAACTCGGTTTCGAAAGTACAAGAAATGCTAATAAACCCACTCGGTGTTTCTATTTTTCTGTGATTTATTCTAAACTGAACCATTTAGAAGGACAAAAACTGATGTGACTATTTGTCAACTCACTACTATATCACAATGCACACGGATTTGATGTGTGGAACAGATAAATGAATTTATTCTCTTAAAGGAATTTGAGAGGGTGCGAAATGCAAATAATCTCACGCCTAGACAAATGGCTAAAACTATAAACTGGTCGGGAAAAGCAGTGATCTCTGTCAATAAATATTGAAATACAATATCTAAGCATGCTTGCCTTTATATTCGGGATGTTCTCAAGTCATTTGCTGTCTCATTCATCGAGAATAACCGACTCCAACTTGCGCAAAGTGGTGAAGCCTCTTCCTTTCGCATAGGATCACCTAGCTAATACACACCATGCATTTTCAATCAGGTTCAAGTCTGGACTGTGGGCAGGCCAGTCCACGGCCATGATACTCCGGTACAATGGCCACATTCTGATGGGGTTGGCCGTAAGTACGGATGTATTTCATCTTGAAAGGTAATGGGCCTCAGTCGAATAACGGAATCATTGGGAGGAGAAATGCATTCGATGTTCTCGTGTATGCTTCAGATATCTGCTTCTATTCTAGAACTGCTAGATGAGGGTTTCCTTCTTCGAAACTGCACTCCGAGACCATCACAGAGCCATCCCCAAAGACAAGATTACTGAGTTCCAGCTTGCTTTCCCTGAAATTGTACCAGTAGTACATGATTCCATGAGGACCACCGAAATTAAACATTTTCTCGCAGCTCAATATCCCACTTTCCCATTCAGCATCACAAGTATTGGGATATCTGGTCCGTTCCTCTTGATCTTGGAAATGAAATTCAGTCATCTAAGGCATCCACTTCACCTTTCAGTGCTACAAATGTGGTGCAGGCTGTAGAAGTTTCTTTGGATGCCGAACACACACATTCGGTTCTAAGAACCTCTGTAGCTTTGACTCACTCGTGAGTTGGTTCAAAGCACCGCGCAAGAGTCCCTTCACGGACTGATCTGGATAATTGTCTTCGAATTCCACGTTTCCTTTAGCCAAATAAGGAATTTAATTCTTCAAAATTTGCGAATTATTGTCGATTTGGGCATTTTCTTGGGATTTTGGGTAGCCTTAGCCCCATGTCTTTGTATTCCAGTAATTCTCCTTTTTCTAGATTTCTCGCCATCTCTTGGTTTTGACAAGTGAGAGGTCTCTACTTCTAATTCGAAAGCACAATTCTATTGAAATTTGTTCGCGAATCACTAAATACATTGATACTGCTGCATCACACATCACTGAGAATCGAAAATGAGCCATTACTGACTAAGGTTGGTGCGCATGTAAGCCAGCTCGAAGTTTGTATCTTATTTTCAGTGGCAGGTTTGATAACATTTCGCACCCTCTCAAATTCCTTTAAGAGAATAAATTCATTTATCTGTTCCACACATCAAATCCGTGTGCATTGTGATATAGTAGTAAGTTGACAAATAATCACATCAGTTTTGGTCCTTCTAAATGGTTCAGTTTAGAATAAAACACAGAAAAATAGAAACACCGAGTGGGTTCAATGGCATTTCGTGCACCATATAACACTTGGTCATTGTCTGTGAAATATCTAGAGCGACTCTAAAGAATTTGATGTCTTTCATTTGCATGAACCATGATACCTCCAGTACCACTGCAAGTGGAAGCAAGTGGGACTGTATGAAATAACTTCCAATAATTGATTTCCGCATGTCATCTTCACCTTCATCCTTTGATTGTGGATACGCATGGGATTTCCTGTTTGCAAAGTCCAGTCAATGTGAATGGAAGGCTATCTTATCGCTTATCGGTGCGAACAAATTCACCACAAAATCTTCATCGGAGAAACTCTGATGCTCTGTCACGAAGCCTAACTGAGTAGTTGTTGAACACATATGAGTTCTCATTGACTTTGCTCGATAGGAATTGATGAAATTTCCACGAACAAGAAGGCACTTAGCAAAAGATGATTGAATGAAACTGCAATAACTTTATGAATTACCACTCCCCTATACATGATTCTCCACAATCTCTTCAAGTTTCTTTCATTTTAATTCTTGCTTCCCACATAATTTTACTTTTGGAAGCACTATTTTGCATTTTTGGTATAAATTCGGAGATGATTCAACGATTATCGAAAAATGTGCTTCCGTCATGGTTCTTCTGTTTGTGCTGGAATTTTTCCAGTTATATGGGTTGCGAATGGTTGGTTGTTCGTTGTTGTTGTTCCTTAAATTGCCCCGGCCTCTCTCCCTATCAGTCTCGCGCGAATCAAACGTCGAATGGCGTACATGGAAAGTGTCCTGGATCAGACGGTTGAACAGACCGGGATGGGATCGTATAAAACACAACAGGATGTTGGAATTTACAATGACGTGAGTGGTATTAGCGATTATTCCATAGAACCGAGCCATGCTATGGCTTAGAAATACACCACTATTTCCGCTGACAGTCAAGGAAATTGAAATATGAAACTCGGTATTGTGATGTTAATCAATAGCCAATCCACAAATCAAAATGCTGTGAAAATCATGAATGAGTAACCAGTGCGAATGCCATTGTTCAAACAGCCGTCTTGTGCATTACACCCCAGAAACACATACTGCTCTCTGATAACAACGCAAAATGACGTCTTATGCACAGTGGTCTGAAATTCGTTTCATATCAGGTCACAAAAGAACCCCATTAACATAATCAGAACAAAGGATGCAAAGGAACATCTGTTTTCAATGACTTGGTTCTCAAGCCATCACAATAACATTTACATGGTAATGAAATGTGCAAGGACATGATCAGAAAAATTGAAAGTGTCTCATTGAACATTTGAGAGATGAATGTGTGATGAGTAGATGGACAATTTGTTTTTGACCTAGCAGCGCTTACTCGAATGACTGGGTTGCGTAACAGGTGATAACTAATTTACGTCACCACTAAGCTATTGTATGGTGTAATCGATTTCCAGTCGGGATAGTTGGAGTGTGGGAACCAAATTTCGTTGCGTGCATAGTTCCGACCTCAACGGATAAATGCCTAATGCTTCTGCAGTTGAAATTGCCCAAAGCTCGACTGAACTTCACTGTGACTGGCTCCTTGGGTTGAATAGGCCGGCTTCATAAATGTCGCTGATCGCGACTTCCGATGCTTGGAGGTTTGCCGCAACCGTAGCGTAGATAACAGAGCGTGTAGATGACGTGGTCGGGAATTTTCATGGGTGTTTGGTACAGTAGACCTCCTCGGCATCACTCGGCTTTATTCCGCGGGCACACCTCTTGAATTTGCCCAAGCAACTGCGGGCTACAAAGCAGCAGTGCGTTCACGTATGGTTGCCAGTGTCTTCCTAGGAGCAAGTTATCCATCAAATTGAATTGAATCCGACCCAAGGGTTCATGCAGCCCTGTTGGTTTGGTAGATTCTCTCTACAGTCGTTAGTAGACAGTAATTTTTCTCCTCCCACTAAGGCAAACCTGTCTTTGTATGCTGCAAACCGTCCCGCCGAGGTTTTTGGACCTCGGCAACTCTCAAACCGTTTTATCCCACCTGTGGAGCAGTTTCGTGGGTCGTTGCCGCAGATGCATTATTTAGCTTCGTGGAGCCAAATGTAACAGTTTGGTACATGATGGAGACGAAAGAGATGTAAGATACCCCAAGGCCACGACAGTTCAACAACTCAGAGGTGCTACTCGTATCAGATACCACATGCAATCCTTTGTACTTGTTGCACTTAGATAGATAATACACAGTTCAGTTGTATTTTTCGCATCCAGACGTCCAGTACCGTGAGCCCGAATCGAACCGGTGACACTCAGCTTATCGAGATGATCTACCAGGTGAGCTATCGCGATACTGTCAGTCGGATGTGATTACCGAAAGTGAATATCCACTGATGCGTTACTACTATTCCAGTGATGCACAGCAGTGCCGCACTGGACTTTTGGAAGCGAAAAATACAGGCGAATTTTCATTATATATAATCCGGGTACCTTGTACCGACACGGATATGTTTCACTGTCCATTTGGTGGCATTCAGTCATGTGTTGCTCGTATTATTGGAAAGGTACCAACGGAACTAGTACAGTGATTGAAAGGCCTACAGTTTCTGTCTCACTGGAATAGCGGATGCGCATCCTTGGATATTCACTTGCGTTATTCACACGCAGCTGACCGCATCGTGGCAGCTCAGCTGACAGAGCGTCTACCCGGTAAACGGAGGGTCACCGGTTCGGTTCCCCTTCGCGACGCTGAAATCTTGAGTTGAAAAGTGCAAGTGGATTTTCCATTACTGAAGATCTAGGTGCCTCCTGCCGAAAACACATTCCACGAACATGTTTTTATTTATTTTGCAGCAAATGTTTCTAGAAACAGCCAGGTTTTATGTAGTCGGAGACAATCAGTTAAGGGAGGATGACCGTGTCACACTATTCTGTATGCAATCTCAATTAGAATGAAATAAATTTGTATGAATTTCTGATGAAGTGGGTATGTGAGTGGGTACCATTTGCCTACTTAGAATTCCAACGTATGATTACTGAGGCAGTAGTTGGACCAGCATCCTAATTGATCTCTTCGCGTTTCGGGTGAACAGATCTAGTATAGTTTCAATCTCAGTTGTTCATTATTTCCGAAGAGCCACAGAAATCCTCGCGTGCTCTGTGCTTTGTTAGCCTACGATTAGGTATTGTGTTTCTATGGTGCACATCGTCAACAGCTGTCTGTACGAAGGCCAAAGGGCACAACAGTTCCCTAACAAACTTCCTTCAAAATCTATGTGTACATTTGTGTTGTAAATAATTCGTACAATATGGGTCCTCATACCAATGTCAATAGCTAACTAGTTTATATTTATGATCCATTCAGGGTATCACACGGATTCGTGTTTCATCAGCATCCACAAAATGCATTGGCTATTCGGCACATCCATGCGTTTGGTTGTATGATTTTATCGAAAAATTTGTAGAATTATCTACTTTATACTCTGTAGATGTTGCTTTTTTCTTCAATTCTCTTCAGGATCCGGTGATCAAGGATTAGAACAAACAGATGGAAGAACAACTGCGAATCCAGTGGAAACCTGTTAACTAGTTCGCTGACATTTACAATTGATTCAATTCACCTTGTTATCATCGTAGCCAACTCTTCTCACCTCGAAAATGAAATGTAGTGTGCTACTCAGGTATTTTCCACTTTGCGCAAACACTAGATGTAACTGAACAACATGCGGATTTGAGGCTGCGATTTGGGAGGGCAACTTTCTGTACGCGGATCTATGTGAGGAATCGTTGAATAGAATATTCGCATTGTTATATCATAAATATGTTGTATGCGAGAGGGCCCACTTGTTGTTCTAGTATGCACGCGCAAACTACCTCGGAGAACAGTTTCCACAAACAACTTCGTCAATAAAATAACAGCTGACTCAACGGAGGTTGAGTAGGACAGTTTTTCGTGAGTAAATTCGCATCTGTCAGACCAAATATCGTCTGATGGACTGGAGACTTTTATTTTTGAGCCACGTGGTTTTAAAGGGACTCATAAGACCATCAATCGGACAGAAAATTCCCGAAAAAAACTCTTTCCGATGACTCTGAGATTGTTAACAACCATCACCTCATTTTATATAAGCTGTAATAAATGACAGACAATCTGACTGGCAGAGTCTTATCAAATTAACCATGAAGAAGGCACATTCATCGTGTTCAAAAAATGAAGTTCCCAGTTCATGAGATCAAAACTTATTCCACGAAAACTGCCCTAACGCAGAATGATGCGCCAAGTCGTGTCTAACACGAGGTTTTTAATCTTGTAAACTTGGACGCATCTATTCATTTGTTATCGAATTTCGCATTAGCAAAGCCACTGAAAAATTTAATGTTTCAATATTCACAACTCTCGGTTAAGGGAACCATTTGAATAAGAATAGAAATTTATCTCTTGTGTGTAATGATCAAGCCGTAAGCCACCTGTTGATGCATATACTGAGCTTCGGCTCCTGGGAGTTTTCTTGTTGTTATGCTTTTGCGAACTGAACCCGGCGGAAGATCAGTACTTCTTGTATGTCATAATACAGCTAACAGTAACTAGCTCAGCTCAGAGACTACCGATTACAGAATGAATACGACAGAAACAGGATCCTAGGATTGAATTATCCACATTTTCTGGTGACAGCATTGTGTACCTTAACTGCATTCGTCAGTTTTAAACTAAGATTCAGAGCACAGTATCCGATAATGTATTAGGGCTTTCATATGTATTACGTAATCGTGTCTTTCATGTGGTGCTGAACTCCGTCTCATTGACTGCAAATCAGTGGTTTGCAAGTCAGCTATATGCGAACACTTTCTTCCAGTCTTGATCTGCTGGGTCTTGCAGTGGACAGTGCACCAACCACCACTGCTTGTCCAATGTTTAAGAACTCCTTGTCGTTCAGAAAAAGCACTTTGAATGACTCACTGACGAAGCTAGTTGCCCTAATGAAACTTATCTTGAGATGGGGACAAGGTTCTGCTGGAGTCACTATCTGGAAATGCATATCCCATTATTTCATTTTGTCTTGAAGTTTTGTCGGTGGCACCCCAAAACACACTGCTGGACTGGAGTCTAGCTGATTCATAGTGACCCTCGACATTTTGTCCAGGTTTGTTATCAGAACTCTGTGCAGATACGTGTAGCAACTGGTGTTGTCGAACAGTACAACTTGCGATGACAAATCCGGTGTTTTTCATGCAACAACCAGCTCAATACCTTCGTTTGAGGCACAGAAAATATAACCTGTTTCTCTGTTCCTCGGTGCGCTTGTTCATTTCAATTCATTCAATCATGAATCTTGCAACTCCTTGCTCTAGTTTCGGTTGCCACCTTGCAGAAACATACACTTGAAAGCAGAATGAACGGAAGAATAATATGAAGGGGCCGGAAAGCAAATACCAAGTGAAAATATAGACCTGCGCCCAAGTAGCTGAGTGGATGGCTTCGCTCAACTATCAGTGCACAGGAAAGCAGTATATGCACTTTGAAATTTTTGTGCCACTCAAATTTAAGCACAACTTAATTCGTTGCTTGGTTAAAAGAGTGAACAAAATCTGTACTGAGGACACAACGGACAACGAACTTCGGTTTCTGCGCAATATGTTCCTGCAAAATAGATATCCTGATCGTTTCATTGACAGGACAAGGCAATAAGTGGAAGAAAGAGCGAAGACCGTTGTTGTCCCAAAATGTCAGTATACATCAGTTTCATGTAATGGAAAATCCACTTGGCGCGCGCCGGCCTCAGACTTTTCGATGTGAAAAATGCAAGTGGGTTTCCCATTACATGAGATTCAGGCTCCTTGTGCCAACTATACTTTCTGTGAATACATCAGTTTGCCGCTCAAAGGTAATTACCCAATGGATATTAAACATCTCAAAGTATCAGGAACTGTTGGGAAAACATTTTACGCGACAAAGCTTCTAATTGTATTTACATCAAAGAATAAAGTGTCAGATTCTATGGCCTTATTCTGTGCATATTTTTTTACTTGGTCCTGTTAGACTGCGTACATTGGCCGTACGATCAGACGCTTATCCGGACGTGTCTGTGAACACCACCCGACTTGGTTGAACACTAGAGCAATCAAAGGGAATACGAGCGCTGTGTATTCACACCTTGTTCAGACTAACCACTCGGTGAATGTGACCGAAGTGTTCCGGCCATTTTACAGATTTCCGAGTAGGCAATTAGGACTGGCAAATTGTCATGTGTTAGCCACAGCGGAAGCTGTATGCATTCGTTCCTACAACCCGCTGTTACACCACCCAAAATAGTTTGTGCAAGCACCAAAGCTTCCTAAGCCAATCCCCTACCCCGAAACAAACCACACATCTGCTGATCAGACTAATGACACAGAAGACACCCACTCACGGATCTAAGTCATGCATGTGGACTAATCGATTTATCTTGGTTATTGTTCTGTTCACTTAACATTGTTCATATAAAATGTGATGCAATGGCATGATTATGAATCACTGAAAAAGAGCTTGTTCGCCACCTTATGTAGTTCTCCATGTGCTCTGTGGAATTATTCGGACATTTAACTCACAAAGACAAATGAAATGGTGAATGTGACCACGCCACTGGCCACGGCACCTAGCTACGTTACTTATTGTATCCAGTCCTCTGATTGGCGGGTCTCGTGAACCCCAACCAAGAAGTCACACACGTCCTAGTTGACCAAGTCTATTGACCGAGTTTTTCGTATCTTTTTGCCATGTCATAAACTGACCACCTCGACGTACCTATCATGCCTCATTCCATCGTGACGGTATTTCTAATTTGAGAAATTTAAGACAAGAGGATAGAGCACACTCTTCATTGCATACAGCACGTTGTTGTATCTTACGGTCTTTCCTGTTAGCTGGTAAAGTTCACATTGTAGTTCAGTGCAAATTGACGGCCACGTACAGTATAGAGAGCCTGGTCAAGTCTGTTTGTTGTCCGACCTCGACTCATTAATTACTCAAAGTGACCTTGTGCAATCCATGTCAAGGCAGTGACAAGCTCCATCAGTTCAACGAAGTTTGCCACTTGGTCATTCTGAGTTATGCGATCTGATGATTCGACTGAACCCGGGGACACTTCATCGGCTAGATTATCAGAAGGCTTTTCAATCTCCAACTTTAGCTGTGCAGCAATAATCTCTCTTCCTTTTCTTCGAATATTTTAATATTCCTTACCATATTGCCTATAGTATACACCCGATGAGACATGACAAAATCTCCCCGGATACAAATTGTACAACGTAACTCAATTGTGTTCTCTTCCCAACCGAGTACTCGTCAAAAGTGAATCCGGACAAGTAAACATTCTGTACACATTATCTAGACAATAAAACAAGTTTATTAGCGTTACCGTAAGAAAGATTTGCTCGAATCGAAGAGAGCTAACACGAGAGAGCAAAAGAGTGAACAATCAAAGTTGGTTCAAAGTGAATCAAAATTGAAGAACTCGGTAGAATAAACCAGCATAAATTTTCAGTATGAAAGTAGAAACAACTGAGTATGCGCATAAAATACGGTGAAGCGTGCATCACTCGCCATGTCGAAAAGTGTCATAAAATTTGCTGCTTCTCTGTAAATGATCTGGCAAGCAAATGTGATAAAAAGTAACTTCGGGAAGTTAGACGTAGCCGCTATCAGAGAAACGGCAGAGAAGATCGATCCTCCTGCCAGTCACTATACGACTGAAGTGGGATAGAATATCATCAGACAAAACCCTCTCAGCCTAACCAGTAAATTTGCCACTCTGGAGCACATAAAGCGGTTGAGCAAACCACCTCTGTGGTCAGGTCGAGCAACGAGGGAAACGATGGAAAAGAAAACGATTGGTGCTGTTTTCGACTAGGAGAGGTTTGGTGATTGCACGTGTACTATATTTCAGTTACATGTTTGATTACATTCGATATAATTCATGTTGAATTGCAAAAATGAATAATTCCTATGTAACGGCCACATTTGAGGTCACCATCCTGTAGTTCGATTATTACTGAACACGTGGAACTTCCTTTCAGGAGATCATTGACTCTTCGTGTTACACCTATTCGTATGTCGAATTCGATTCTGTTCATACTCCATTTCGATTTGGGATTACTATTCTCATTAATTCGGTAGGATAATATTTCACAATTGACGTCGGTGCAATTAATCAAAACCATGCACATTTGCAGTATGAAATTTCTGAATTTAAATGATCCTTAGTGTGAGATTGAGGAATGTGTCGAATGATTCGAATTTCGGTGTATTGTTTGTGAGAAAATTTCCGATGAATGTAAGACCCCTGTTTTCTAGAGTTTCTTTTGGAAGATCAGCAAATTCTGATGTCAAGATTTTGTTATTCCCATAGGAGCTCTAAATCTCTGAAATCCGAAGAAGTCAACAAAACCTGTGCTTCGGTAAATTGTCTCGGTTAGTTTCGAAATTGCTGAATGGGCAATCTCAGAAATTCAGTGGAAAGATTCACAGGACTCCCATGAACTCATCCTCCAGTTTCGAACATA